TGGAACTGAGAGATGGAATATGATCTGACATAATCTCCCATCTCCTCCCGGGTTTCAATCGCCTTCTTTACCAGCCACTATAGATGTAGCAAAAGATGCATTATTCTTGCACTGTTTCTCAGAACAATGCGTCACTATTTATAAAACCAATTATACCTTAATTTTGGGTTCAGTAAGTAAGAAATGTATGTATTAAATTAATCAAAATTAATAGTAAAGACAGTTAGAATGTTAAGAAATGTTTTTGAGCACAAATATTAGACATATTAGAATGATTTCCACAGGATCATGTGACACTGAAGACTGTAGTAATTGCTGCTGAAAATTCAGCTTTGTCATCAGAGGAATAAATTACATTTTAAAATATATTCAAATAGAAAACAGTTAATTTGAACTGTAATAACATTTCACAATATTACTATTTTTACCGTATTTTTGGTCAAATAAATGCAGCCTTGGTGAGCAAAAGAAACGTCTTTCAAAACATAAAATCATACTGATCCCAAATTTTTGAAAGGTAACGTAGGTCTTCAGCTCTTTTAAAGGGGTCATATGATGCTGCTAAAAAGAACATTATTTTGTGTATTTGGTGTAATGAAATGTGTTTATGCGGTTTAAGGTTCAAAAAACACATTATTTTCCACATACTGTACATCATATCTCTTTGGATTTGACACTTTAGTGTTTGCAACTTTACAGATCTTCTTTATGCACCAAGAGCTTGTAACACTCCAAAGAGAAAGGACAAATTGAAATCGCATCATATGACCCCTTTAAGTGCCAAAGATATACAGGTGTACATACCTGTACAACAGGGAAGATGTGGATGAAATCCAACCCTTGGATCTGATGAGGCTCTAATCGGTGTGGACATTTCATTCTGGGCAGAACTGACACAATCTTCTCTGTCAGAGCACTTAAATGGAAAAGACACAGATAATCACATTAACCAGAATTCAGTTCAATCGAAGCAGGAAGGTTTCTGTCAGTTTTCATTCTTCTCATGTTACAATGCTGTTTGTTCTACACACTCACATTTTTTGACCAATGGTGGAATTTTCTTGGAAAAGCAGATCAACGTCAATGTCAAAGTTGCATGTAGTTATACACCAGGTCATTCCTCCAACCACCTAAAGTACAAGCATAGACCGTTCATAATTACACTAATGGTGTGTAAAACACACTGTAATTTGATTGGTACAGGTGTGTAAAGTCTGACATACCTTGTCAAAGGGTGACAGTCCCTTAATGCGTGCTCTGAAATATCCAGCAGCGAGCAACAGCTCCAAAATCTCCGCAAGCTTGACACTCTGCTCCTCATCCTCACGTGTCTCCACCTGTCAATCACAGAACATACACCAGTCAGTATGACAGTACAAACTCAGCACATTAAAACACATTTTTAAATAAGAAGTCCATATTTTATTGTTAAACTTTTATTGTTACTTGCCACTAAACACCAGTTAATTTTAAATTTTGAAATAAACAAGCAGTATATCCAAACAATTCCAAAAATGCATCTAAAAATTGTAGAATAAGCTTTGTAAATTACATTTGCAGATACCTCATATATTATATTATACTTATTTATTTTCTTAATGCACATTAATTGAATCATATTACTGTACACTGCGTTACATTCGCCTGACAATAAACTTCAGTTATTAGAAATAATTAAAACGCAGGACTTCTTCACTCAGTAATGCTGATAATAACTTACATATTAAATCTATTAATTTAGCAGACGCGTTTATCCTCATATGTATAATGACATATTATATATACAAGTGCTTTATACGTCTCTTCACAAGAAGAACATGTATACACTTCTATTTAACTGATACGTTAAAGTGACGTGTTTCTCTGAATCACTGATCTATATTAGAGAATATATATATATATATAGATCAGTGGATTGAATGCATAACCTTAAAAACAATAAAACTGATTGCAAACGCAAATGTTTTGTTTTCAGTATTACCTTGATGAGATTGCCCTCCTGATCATACTGCGCTCCGATTTTCGAGCCCGTTCTCACTCTCTGGAACACAGAGGTCGCCGCCATGATGATCACGATGTGTCACGTGAGATGAATCACGTGACGTAAACGTTGTCAGTTCAAATGCGCACTGAACCTGTGCTTATTTTGTGTGTTTGGCAAAGACAACATACTGATGTTGTACATGCTCGGTAAAAGTTCCCCACAAAAATAAATAAATAAAATAAAAAGGAAAAAGAATCCAGCAGACTGGCATGATACTAAAGAGTAGCCTATAAGTGAAATATGAAGAACAATTATCATTTGTTCAGCTATCAAACATCGTGGCATTACACGTTTAAATAGTTGTTAAAGAAAGCAAATTAAAGAAGTGAAGGCAATTGTTTTGGTCTTGTATAAATTTTGGTGTTTGTTTTTATGGCAGGAGCTCAGAGATGTGACACTGCGTAAATGACAGTGGTTAGACAAAGTGGCTGTTCTGTAGACTTGTTAAATTATAAATTAATTTGTTTTAAAGTCATCATCTTTCAGTAGGTCGTATGTTTTCTGTATATTAAATATTTTTACTTCTTGAGTGCAGGATATATACAGTGTAGGAATACTCTGGATGTTTTGTGAATAGACTATAAGCGTCTAAGCAAGGACCACAATGAATTGTACTCTTGTTACAGAGGACATTGTAATGTACTGTCATGTTTAGAGAAAATGTGACAGTGACCTTAGTTGACTTCATTGGCCTGAAGAGTTCATTCAGGCCTCAGAGGACCAAAACCCAAGAGGACACTTTTTGTGCACGCTGCTGAATCCATTCTGCAAATAATTTAAGCTATTTATAAAGTACCCAAACAGTGATCAACATTACCCATGTGGAATATTACCTAATGATAAATTACAGATTACATTTAGTGAAGCACCTACAATTTATCATATCAACTAATCACAAAATCTGCATTTAGGTTTTACTTTGTTATATATTTCCTGCACTTATGTGCAATATTGCTCACATGCATTTTAACAATTCTTGACGTTCAGGTGGAAATTTAAGAAATATAGGCCTAAATTAAAACCAATTAGATAGTGATGTGGTCTGGTGAATAGAATCTGGTCTGCATGCAGTGTATATCTGAATATCACCAGCATAACAGTGATAATGAAAACCATGACGACGGATAATATGTCCAAGAGGCATGATGTAAGTAATGAATAGTAATGGCCCAAGAACAGAGCCCTGGGGAACACCCTGACTGAGTAAAGTAGTGGGAGATTTATAATTATGCATAGTGATGTAGTATTGTCTATCAGTGAGATAGGAAGAGAACCAGGATAGTGCAGCACCTGAGACACCTATCTCTGAAAGGCGGGAGAGTAATAACTTGTGACAGACAGTATCAAATGCTGAGCTGAGGTCGAGCAGCAGGAGAATGGAGAGATTACCTGAGTCACCAGAGAGTAACTAAAGCAGTTTCAGTGTTGTGATGAGAGTGAAAACCAGATTGAAATGCATCGAACTGATCGCTGAGAGCTAGAAAAGACTGTAGCTGATTAGCAACAAATTTTTTTCCATAATTTTTGAAATAAATGGTAAATTGGAGATTGGACAATAGTTGGTGAAATCAGCTGGGTCCAGGTTTGGTTTCTTAAGAACAGGAGTAACAGCAGCAA